AGAGAGAGAGAGAGAGAGAGAGAGAGTCAAAATAGAAGACGACAAGGTCTGAAAAGATAAAAGTTCGGCGTCGCCGCCTTACACTCACGCCAAGGATAATAATCCGCAACAAAGACGCATTCGCCATTAATTTCACTATGGCCCCGGGCCAATCCCTCGCTCAACTCCAATCATCGAACCTCGTACCTGCACCGACGATCCCGGCCGTCGTGTGCTAACTCCCACCACTGCGATCGTCACCCCGCTGTCGTAAACTCGACACGGTTCACCCAGATCCCACAGTCCGTCGTGGCGATCCAGCGCACAACCGGCTAGTCTATCGTTTGCCTGACAGGACTTTCCGGCTCGCTTCAAACACTCTGCCTAGCCACTGCTTCCCGGAAGCTGGCTTGAGAGTCGAGAACGTAAGAGAGTTTTGCGGATGCGCTTGCGGGTTTTATAGTTGCGACAGGGGAGATAGAAGGGGGAGAAGGCGACAGGATAGGTGAGGTGCAAAAGGAGAAGCATGAGGAGACTTTGAGAAGAGAGCTCTACGAACGCCATGCTGATCCCTCGGAACTCAAGGTTCAACCAATCAGATTCGTCGCGCGATAGGAAGGTCCTATCGATCCACGCACCTGATTGGCGAGCAGGAGTTATCGGGGGATCGACCGGGCGTCGTACGCCAGACGTAGAGGGTGAGAAGAGAAAAGGCGCGAGAGGTGGCGCAAAACGGGTCCAAGATTCAGATGACCAAGAAAGGGAAATGGGCGCGCGAAAACAAGGCGGGAGAGAGAAGAGGGAGAAGGAAAAAACAGTGACGGAGAGAGAGAAAAAAGGAGGGAGAAGGGAAGGGAGGTGCGGGAGGGAGCGATGCGGGGGACTGAGAGGAGGAAGCTTTTGCATGCATGGTCCTGTTAAGAAAAAAAGAAAAAGGCACCGAAATAGTTACAGCTTGCTTCTATCCTAATTCAAAATTGAAATCACCATATCCGCACGCGAAAAAGCGACGCGGGAAAAGAAAATCCTACACCTATTCGTATTCACGCAAAATTCCGAGATTTTTCCCCGACGTGCCCAATAACATTCACACACCCAGAAAAGACACGCCGAAGTTCCGTCTATCCCGGAATTCCCAACTACCGAGCCCAATTCCCATGTATTTTCCGACTTTGCGGGAAGAAAAACAGAACTCAGCAGTCGAAAAAACTCTCAAAAAGGAAAATGCAGCACCCGAAAGCAAGAACTCAAAACGGGGTTTTCCTGGGGTTGGTATGATACAAGCAAAACAAAGGGTACGAACGACGGCACGGGGTCGGGAATTGGTTCGTCACATATGTACCGCGCAGGGGGTTCCAAAATTATGCGATCTCCTTATTGCATGTCATGGCGAAAAAGAAGAGGGGAGAACAGAGTAATGCATGAGGAACCAAGCGTATCAATAAAGCAGAAAGAAGTACAAGGAACGATAACTGGGCCACGGATGAGATGGCGACAACATCCGTGGCAAGATCTCTGTAGCCCTATCATATGCAACCCTCTGCCTCATGGAGATCGTCCAGGTGACGCCATCATGGTCCACCTGATCTCTGTGTGCTTTGCACCCTTGCTCGCTGCCGTCAGCGTTGTCACGCGGGGATCCCCGGGGCCCAAGCCGGGGTAGGGGTTTCAACCCTGGAACCCCGCCGCGGGGCTACCCGAGCCCCGCCCCCGCAAAAACAACCCCGGCCCTGCCCCAACCCCGCCACCCCC